GGGAGACTGAAACGTCTCCACTTTCTTCTCTTCCTCCTCCAGCAATTTCCTCTTCCCCTTCCTCTTCCTCTTCCTGGTCTTCCCCCTCTTCCGCCTCCTCTTCCTTCCCGACTACCTCGAAGGGGTACCAGTGGCAGAGTCAGGCTGATGAACTGGGGGAGCAAACAGGCTGGGGGAGAAAACAGAAACTGGTAACTAGAGACTGATGTCGCTCATGAACGTCAACACTGAAGTATAGACAGACAAATAATTGATAGTGACATATACGTTGACAGAAGCATTTATGCTAATATGTCATGACCAAGTGGGGTTTATCCTGCAAGTGCAAGATGGCTCTCATCAGTCAGTGGAACTCACCGTCTCAACAGACTGAAGAAGAAAAACCAAATTATCCCAATAGATGCAGAAAAGTACTTGGCAAAATTTGCATCCATTCATGACAAAAACTGCGAAAACTAGCAAGAGAAGAGAACCTACACTTGATAAAAGCATATCCCCAAGCCTACAAGTCATGCCATACTTAACAGTAAAAGACTGAGTTTCTCCTTTGAAAGCAAGAACCAGACCAGGATGTCCACTCTCATTATTATTTTTTTTTTTTTAAAGAGGCATGTATTATTTATTTATTTGTTTGTTTGTTTTGTTTATACAAGCACTGGGTACAGTCAGAAGCGCGGGAGGGTGAGAGAATTCACCAGAGCCAGAGCGGGGAGCAGAGCAGGCAGAAGGACCGAAGTACACTGCTGAGGGGAGCAGCGGGCGGCAGGAGAGGTCTGCGCGCCATGTGGGACCCTCACCTGGTGGCCGGGGATCGAACCGGCGCCGCAGAGGCTGCGGGCAGCTTCGCAACCCAGCGCTCAACCGCTGCGCCACCGGGGAGGCCCGCTCTCTCATTATTTCTGTTCAAAACTGTGCTGAAGGTTTCTAGCCAGCCCAATAGGTGAACAAGAGAAATAAGAGGTACTGAATTGGGAGGGAAGAAGTAAATTGTCTATATTTGTAAACAGAGTGCTGATGTTTTGTTGAAAATCCCCGAGAATCTACAAATATGTGACTCTACTGAGTGGGGAGTTTAGCCAGGTTGCAGACCACAAACTTCAATACACAAAAATCAGTAATTTTCATCATTAGGAAGTGAACAATTGCCAAGTGGAAATTTAAGAAGTCCCATCTGCGATCACACCACAAAACATGAAATGATTGGGCCTCCCTGGTGGTGCAGCGGTTGAACGCTGGGTTGCGAAGCTGCCCGCAGCCTCTGCGGTGCTGGTTCAATCCCCGGCTGCTCCCCGGCCACCAGAGGAGGGTCCCACATGGTGCGCAGACCTCCCCTGCCGCCCGCTGCTCCCCTCAGCAGTGTACTTCGGTCCTTCTGCCTGCTCTGCTCCCCGCTCTGGCTCTGGTGAATTCTCTCACCCTCCCGCGCTTCTGCCTGTACCCAGTGCATGTATAAACAAAACAAACAAACAAACAAATAAATAAATAAATCATGCCTCTAAAAAAAAAAAAAAAAAAAAAATGAAATGATTAAGTTTGAGACTTAGTTTTACACTTAGCTTAAAAAGCCCAATCTGTGAAAGAAAAACTGGGTTAGTAGGACTTCATCAAAAATTTAAAATGTTGTTGTTTTAAAGACCCTTTTAAGATAATAAAGCAATTTGAAAAACCAGGACTTGGACCCAGAATCTCTTCATACTGAGAGAAGTGACTCCAAGGTTTCCTCTGAGTTAAAAATCAAGCATATCAGACGAAACATCAGTGGATTCTTTTTACTATTACTTTTTAAATCTCAGAACAGAGGAAACCTTCCTAACTATTCCACCAAACAGGCGTCAAAACAGATGGGTAGCCTAGACTTTTTTTCTGCCCAAAACATCAAAAGCAAAATAATAAAACCAATAATGAAGGGAAAATTGTGTGCAAGTCATCTACTACAAAGAGCTAATTTCTCAGGACATGCTAAGAAACCTACCATTAAATAAAGAAAAGGCCCCCAGTCCAACAGGAAAATGGGCAAAAGAGAGATACAAAAAATCCCCAGAGTCTCTGGTGGCACAAGGGGTTAAGCAACCGCACTATGAAGCAATCCACAGCCTCTGCAGCATGAGTTCAATCCCTGGCAGGCCAGGGAGCTACCCACATGGTGCAGCAGACCTCTCCTGTCTCGCCCACTGCTCCCCTCAGCAGTGTACTTCAGTCAGTCTGCCTGTTCTGCTCCCCGCTCTGTCTCTGGTGAGTCCTCTCACCCCCTGCATCTCTGGCCTGTACCCCAGCTCTTGTATGTATAAATCAATAAATCTTTTTTAAAAAATCCCCAGGGAGGAAAACGTAAGTACAAAGATGCTTAAGCTCCCTCCTAATGGAATGCACTAACATATAATAATTAGAAAACATAATCTATTCCTGTGCTGATGAACAGTTTTGATTAATGCTGGTTTGGAATATTCCTAGTGAAAAGCTTCCCTGATTGTTATACTTTTTAAAGAAATTTAGCCATCCTCACGTGGGCAAGTGACACAAACATGGATAAGATTTTAGTAGGTGATAAAGTTTATATTTTAACCAGTAAGGGAAGTGAATTGTTGACCTAACATTCATAATTTATCACCCCTCCCACCATCATTTCCTTAGGAAACATTCATTGTTTAAAAGATTCGGAAAATAGAAAAGCACAGAGAAAAAATAAAAGTCATCAGTAAACTCTCAGGTCGAGACAGGCTCTAGGCCGTTTGCCATCCTATTTGCAGGGCGAGTGAATTTGTTTCTACTCCTGTGCCTAACCAGGGCCAAGCTGGGTATACTGTGCTGGGGTCCCCAGACAAGAAGGACCCCGCCACTGCCCCAGAATCCCCCCCAGGAAGCAGCTTGGCGGGATGGGACATGGGGAAGGGGTGGGGGGCGTGCCCAGCACAGCGTTTATGGACCCAAAATTCATCCTAGAGCTAAATATAAAAAGTGAGATCATAAGATTTGAGAAAGACCTTTCTCCAACCAACCTCTGCTTCCAAGTTTCAAGTGGGGCATGATAAGTGGGGTTCCCTTTCAGCATCTCTGCATTCATTGCCTTTCTGAGTTTCATTTGACTTTCTAGATCCCTCTGAAACTTGGAAAATAGGCAGAGATTTGGGTTTTCCTTAATGAAGGAAATTTGGGTTTTCTTCAATGAAGCCATTGGTTGAGTTTTTCTAAAGCTATTAATACACTATGAACCCTATGACCTTGTATCTCTATAAAATACTATGCAAAATTACAGAAACTGAAAGGATATTCTTCCAAATTAACATCAGTTTACTTGAGAAATGAGATGACCCGTATTTTTATTTTCTTTTGGGCCTTTTTCTATATTTTGATATTTTCTGTCATAAGTATGGATTATTTTTATATCCAGAAAAAGAGCCAATGCAGGTGACAATCATGAAACAGCAAAGGAAGCTCACCAGCACAACACGGTTCTAGATAACTTAGCAGCACCCCTCACTCTGCTCCAAATCCTGGAGGGAGAAGTTGAGCGACTGTGACACAGCCAAGCAGAAAAAGAACAGCAAGCAGCTCCGATTCTCCTGGTGCTTGTGTGCCTTACCTGTGATTTTGATAGTACATTCTGGCATATTCTTCCTTGACCTCTTCTAGGCTGTTTGCGTTCCCATCCTCCAGGAAGAAGGCTTCTATTGGGGATTGGAAGGTCAGGATCACAAGGGGTAAGAGAGTGGTCTGGTGACCCCCGAGCCCACCCACATTCAGAGCTAGCTGCCTCCTCTTCTTCTAGATGCCAGGGGAGAGCACTAGGCCAGAGAAAAGGGCTTCTTGAACCGGCTCTTCTCCATCAAGATATCAGAAGTATCACTTATTAAACCCAAATTCCGTTCCAGCCATCTCTCTGGGTACCAAGGAGGGAGCCGGATTCTGCTCTTTGCTGTTGAGTCCGACGGGCGCCAGTACGGTTCTCTGGCTCGCAAGATGAGATCAGGAAGCTTCCCCAGAACCCCAACATCTCAACAGACAGATGACTGCCTGTCCTTCCAGGCTGCAAGCTCCTGGAGGGCTGGATGTGAATCTCATCACACCCCCGGACCAAGCACAGCACCTGGCACACAGTAGGACCTCAATACATGTCACCTCGCTAGGTTTAACCCAATGGGTTTTCAACAGTACAGGTAAACTAGCGCCCCCTGGTGGCAGGTAGGGACCTATTACCTTTCAGCTTCAGCAGACTGTCCAAAGTGTGTTCCAGGTCCTGAATATGAGTCTTCGCCTTATTTAAAACCTGCCACTGAGAACAGAGACAGACAATGCTGACAAGCTGGCCTTCCACTGCAGGGGCTGGTTTGTGGACCCCAGAGGACCCTCCCTGCACAAGGCAAGTCTCTGACCTTGTTGGTAAAAAGAACAAGAAGCTCGTTCTGATGCCAAGAAGGCAAGACATTTTCCTCTGAATCCTGGAAACTGTGCTTGCCAAAATCCTAAAGCTTTGGGAGATAATTAAGCTGAAAGAAGGCAAATAAGTCTTTACACCACTTGAAGGTAGGGTTAATGGTGACAGAGAGGCTCTGGGAATGAATATTTGCCCATCACCCCAGTAAATGTGCTATTCTAACAGGATATTTTTTATTTGCTAGGTGCATACACACCAGAAGAGCTAAAATCTTGGCCTCAGCTTGGAACTCTAAATATCCTGTCCCGCAAGACTCACAGGTCGCCTCCTACCTCCTGCCTTTCTTTCTCCTTTTCTTCCTCTCATCCTCCCTTCTCCTCCCTCTGTGACCCTCCCGCCCCCCCTGCCCCCCCTTCCTTCTCTCCTGTATAAAATATCACCACAGTCAAAATGGTAACTGCAAGATTATTCAAAAATGAGAAACTGCAAGATTATTCAAAAACCAAGGTCTGAGAGGGGGGTCAGCCCCCTTAGCAGCTATGGACCAGGTATGGCCTTCAAGAAATAGCATGCTGACTCAGAAAACCAAGGCCCAGCTTGCTCAACAACATGGCTATCTCACTCCTAAATAGAGGAACAAACCAAAAACCCAGCACACAAACCACATCCCCACCTGTTTAGAACTGGCCCCTGATAGAGGTGTTCAGCCTATTCTGAGAGCCTATTCATTCTGTTTGTGTGCTGCCCACCGGCCCCATCAGGAGTGCCAGCCACACATCAGGCCTGTCTCTAAGCCCCGGGCTCATGGGTCAATAAGACTGCCCTGCGTCCAGGTTAGTGGATGTGCTAGCAGGGATGACAAGCACGGCAGCCACTGCTTGTAACACCAGCTGGAATCAAGTAAGTGCCACAAAGGGCTAGAAGCAAAGGGCCGTGGAAACGCCTGGGAGGAGGGAGTGATTCCAAATGGAGGGCTGGAGAAGACACTAGAACAGGGCAACTGAGCGGAGCAAGTCGAGCTGAGCTCCAAAGTGCACACAGACTCTCAAGCTGCAGGAGCAAGGGCAGAGGCTGGGCACGCAGGCCTCACACAGGTTGGGTGGCGGGAGGGGATGCTGACGCCTGCAGGCGGCCGGGGGTCATCCTTCCAGATTCAAGCGGATTCTGCCTAGTGAACAAAATGGAGGTTTGAAGGGAGCTAGAAGCAAGCACTCTCCTGACCCAGAGGACAGCAACGTGAGAATACAGGTGATTGCAGACTCCACATCTGGTTCACTTGACGTCCCACGCAGTCTGCTGCCCCAGCGCCCCCAGTCCTGGGGCTCATGGTCACTCTGCTGGGCCAGCAAGGACTCCGATGCCTCCTCTGTTGCCAGGGCCACTTGTTTCTGGTCAGGGTGTGGTCCAGGGCTGTTTACCGGCGCCGGCTCAGCAGGCCCACACCGCACTCACATCAGTTAGCAGGCAGGGCCAGGAAGCCAGGCACCATTCCTTGAAACTCTGTTTCTAGAATGTTTTTGACAGGCTGACATCCTCAGCACCTCTGTTCTGGGTAGAATTGTGTTCCCTCAAATAGACTTGTTGAAGTCCTAATTCCAGAACCGTGAATGGGGACTAATTTGTAAACCAGGACTTTAGAGAGGTGGTCAAGTTAAAATGAGGCCAGCAAAGCCCTAACCCAATGTGACTGGTGTCCTTGTAAACAGAGGACATTTGGATGTAGAGCCGACCCACACTGGGAAGGTGATGTGAAGACACAGGGCAGGAGGAACAGCATCTGTGAGCCATGGAATGCCAAGCTTTGCTGGAAAATGCTAGAAGCTTAAAAAGGAATAAGAGTCATGGCCCCGTGGACCCCTTGACGTGGGACTTCCAGCCTCCAAAACTGTGAGACGATACATTTCTGGTGTTTGAAGTTACCAGCTTCTGGCATTCAGTCCTCGGAAACCAACGTGACCTTGCTACACCGACACGCTGGGGAAAAAAAATCTTTTCTTCATGGGTGCTACAAATGCAGAATTCAGGGTTGTCCCTCAGGCAGAGAGAGGAGAAAATGGAGCTGACCTGGTTTCTAGACTGTCCCCGGGCTGTGCCATTCCAGGCAAATTAACTTTCTGCAGCCTCGGGTTTCCTCATCAGTAAAATGTGGGTGATATGAAAAGAGCAAGCGAGGTCACACCTTGGGAAACGATACTAACATTTGAACCCCTTATGACAGAGCTACAGCTTTTCATGCAATTATCATATTAACCTCCCCATCAGGCCTCGGAGGACCCATCTGTCCCCGGGTAGTCGCGGTGTTAACTGAAGCTTAGCAGCTAACTGGCCTCACAGGAACCACGGCCAGGTAACAGCCGGGCTCTCCACCATGACCTATGGAGGTACAGATTTTCGGGGGTGCAAATGATTTTCCTCTCCATTTCCTCCCACTTCCCACTGGCGGCCCTGAATGCCGTTGCTGGTGGACTTGCTGCTGGGCACACTACTTTGGCCACTGACAGGGCCTCTGGGGTTTTATCACACCCACAGGAGACATCTGCCCCCTCCAGGGGACATGGCAGAGCTATGTCCAGGTTCTTTGCTGTGAGGTCAAGATATAGGATGTTCCCCACCCCGCAGACCCGAGCCCTTAGTTCTGAGCCCCTGGAGCTGGCTCAGCATCCAGCCTCAACAGAGAAAGGAAGAGCAGCACATCCCTCCCCTCTCACCCCCCACTTTCCACCTCACCCTCTGCAAGGGCAGGAGGGTCTCCATTAAGACTCTTCAGTTAAACACAAATGTGGTCCTACTTGGAACCTGCATGGGCTGTTCAGGGGCGCCTTCCCCTAAGGGCCACGAAGACCCTGACCCACCACGGAGCTCTCCCACCCCTGCCCCCGCCCTCGACCAGGATCCTGCACCAGCCCGTAAGCAGGAAGCACATCATCCTTGCAATGAGCCACCCTGCTGAAGGGCCCCATGCAGGAAGGGCCTCGCGTGAGCCGGAGCCTCCGGTGTAGAAAGGATGGTGGGAAGAGAGCGAAGCTGGAGCCAGAAACTGGGGCTACCTCCAATTTAGTTCCTGCCAGCAACTCAGGGACCAATCTTCTCCTACTTCCTGCAATGCTTCCTCCCTTTGTACTACCACCCAAGCCTTCCCTGAGGCACTGCCAGAGACCCTGGTCAGCAATAAAGACAGCCGTGTAGACCAAAGAGGTGAGATTAAGAGCAGGGAAAGATAAGGCCACTTGCTTAGGGCCAAGGCCTGGCTGCGCCCCAGGCTGACAGTGTGCCCGGCTGTGGGTGTGGGTGTGTATATGCTGTATGGGGGGATGAGGGGCCTGGGAGCAGCTGGAGGCTCACCTAGGCCCACGACAAGGTGAGGCACAGACGCCACTGGTTAACCGGGTCTCTCAGGCCCGATGTTTCCCTTCTGACCAGGCAGCAGGTGGGTCAGGCCCGGCTCTCAGGCTTCACCCACGAGTGGCAGCAGAAAGCACCGTGAAGCATCCACAGCTGAGGGCTGACCCCACCTCGGCTGCAGCCCTTGGGGGTGGCACTGGTCGGGGTGACAGCTCCAGGCCTGTCCCCACTGGATCCTACCTTTGAGGCTGTGAGTTCAGACTGGGAGTAGACGGTCTCCCTGAGCTTGGAGAAGAGCCCAGCCAGGGTGGCCCGGTGGCGGGCCTGGGACAGGCGTCTGCGGGCCACTCGGGGCTCGAGCTCCTGCAGCTGTACCTGCGGCCGGGCCGTTGCTCTGCCCCGGGGGTTACTGCCTTCTTCAGCCGTCGCCATTGGTAGCTGCAACATAAGATTAGGTTTGGGGAGGAGGCTCAAAATGATGAAGATGTAGTATTAAGGAAGACAAGCAGAAAAGGGGATTGACTCCCAAGTAAAATGTCTCAAATCGATGAATATCATCAACGAGATTCAGAGTCAGTAACTGATGACACAACATCTATTATGTCAGCTCCTCTCCTAAAAACACAAGCCACTGACTCTTGACTTAAGTGGAGGGCTGCTGCTGTCTTATACCAGGAAGTTTCCAGAACATTACAGGTACTCCGCAGACATTTGGTCACTGATTGCTGTGACCAAGGAGAGTAAACCACACCCCAGGACCTCATTCCTTACTATTAAAAACTGATGAGGGGTGTGTTGTTCTTGGCCTTCTTTCCTGTCTTAAGAATGCGCTGCTCTTTGGGGGGCCTCCCTGGTGGCACAAGGGGCTAAGCACCGCGCTATGAAGCAATACGCAGCCTCTGCAGCACGAGTTCGATCCTGGCTGGCCAGGGAGCAACCCACATGGCGCAGCAGACCTCTCCTGTCTCGCCCACTGCTCCCCTCAGCAGTGTATTTCAGTCAATCTGCCTGTTCTTTTTTTTTTTTTTTTTTAAAGATTTATTTATTTATGCATACAAGAGCTGGGGTACAGGCCAGAGATGCGGGATGTAAGAGGACTCACCAGAGACAGAGCGGGGACCAGAACAGGCAGACTGAATGAAATACACTGCTGAGAGGAGCAGCAGGTGAGACAAGAGAGGTCTGCTGCACCATGTGGGTTTCTCCCTGGCTGGCCAGGGATCAAACTCATGCTGCAGTGGCTACATATTGCTTCATAGTGCAGTGCTTAATCCCTTGCGCCACCAGGGAGGCCCGGGTCTGCCTGCTCTGTTCCCTACTCTGTCTCTGGTGAATCCTCTCACCCCCATGCATCTCTGGCCTGTACCCCAGTTCTTGTGTGCATAAATAAATAAATCTTAAAAAAAAGAGTAAAAGAAAGAATGCACTGCTGTTTGGGCTGCATAGTGATGACTGGAGTCTAGACATAGGATAAAAAATCCAGCGTGTACACTCTACATTTGCTAACTTCCCTGTATATCTATTTATCACACTTGGAACAGCAAATGGGAGAATGAACTCTTCTCCCTGTGAAAGTGAAAAGTCACGTGTCCATGAGACGTGGAATTGGGTATGTCTGGTCTTGCTTCTAGAGGGCTCTAAAGATGGTACATGTCACTGGAGTGACATAAGCCTCTTCCTTAGAAGAGATTCTGGGACTTAGAAGTAGCCCTTTTAACCAGAAACGGGGTCCAGGGTCTCTTCTTGCTTGAACCATGGACGGAGGTTGGATGCTCACCCACCACCCAGAGAAAACGTTCCCGTCTCTGCTCTACTGCCTCTGTCAACAGAGGGACTGTCTCCATCACCTCTGTGTCCCAGCTGGCACTCACTGCTGGGGCTTTGAGTGATTTGGAATGAGGGGGTCTCTGCGACCCCACTTTCCTCTAATTCAGTCCTGGGCACAGGGACAAGGCATGGCCTGGGTCAGCATCTGCTGGGGAGGCTGGGAAGATGCACCTGCCTTGAAACCCCTGGATCTGGGCTCACTGGGGTGGCCCCGGGCAGCTGGTGGGCAGCATATTCCTGGGTGATTCTGAGACTCTACCTGGGTCTACATCCCCATAGAATTCTCAAATAGCCATGGCTCTTCTCCTTTGAGAGAAGAGCAAGGGAGGAGGCAGAAGAAAACTTCCTTGCCGCGGACCAGCACAGCAGGGGGAGGTGCAGCACTTCATTTTAGGGAGAGAATGGCCACAGAGACAGTGATGTGGGACTTCTGACCTTTTGAGGTCAGAAAGCAAATCTCCCACCAAGGATAAGCTCTTCACCAGCGTCTTCTTTCCTTGGGTTAGCTCTCAGAATGGTGGCAGGAAAACACACGTGGCTCATTGACCCCTGTCAGGGAGTCAACATTTATTAGCAGGAGCTACAGCACCCGGGTGGGGAGGTCAGTGTGCAATCTGCCGCAGCCCTTCCAGCCCAGGCCTCGGTTACATCAGCTGTCACACCTTTATAGTCTGCAATTTCCAGATGCCAACAAATCTTCCATGGGAACCAGTGAAAGTTTTGAGCTGCCTCGGGGGAGAGGAAAGCCTTTTGAACCCAAGAACACAGGTTTTCTTGTTTAAAGAGAAATGAATGTGCCTGGACACCAGGGCATGTCAACATGTGAACAGAGGTGAGTATACCACGATCTGAAACCTCTAGCAGTCTAGGAATACTCTACCAAAGGCCTTTAGGCTAGTGGGGAACCTGGAGCTCTCCCAGTGCCAACACCCACTATCCCGTTTCCTTCCAGGCTTCTGCCCCAACACACTCCTGGAATGTCTGGATGGCTGTGCAGCTGGACACACGGATAAGGGTGCAGGCCTTTGCCTTGCCTATAGGGGGCGGCCCTGACTGCAGTTGTTAGGGGTAAAGGCAGAGCCATGGCAATCCCGCCGGCTGCTTGGAACTGTGACCTCCACTTCACCCCATTTGGCGACCCCCTCTGTCAGGAGCTGGGAGACAATGGGAGAAACTTTCCACTCTGCTTTAAGGGGAGAATCAAGCCACAGAGATGTTGAACTTGGTTTGACCTCATGCAAGTTTTAAATCTCCTACACATAGGGCCTCCCTAGTGGCCTGCCACGAAGGCCTGAGTTCGAGCCCCAGGCAGGGAGCTACCCACGTGGCGCAGCAGACCTCTCCTGACTTGCCCGCTGCTCCCCTCAGCAGTGTATTTCAGTCAGTCTGCCTGTTCTGCTCCCTGCTCTGTCTCTGGTGAATCCTCTCACCCCCCTGTGCATCTGGCCTGTACCCCAATTCTCTTACGCAAAAATCAATACAATCTTTAAAAAATAATAAAAAATAAATACCCTACCCATAAGTGCTACATCCTACTTGCCACTGGGAATAACTTGCTGATTCCCCGAAGGCATCTTCTCTAGCTCCCTGTATTGACCTGCACGTGACCCTGACAGGGCTATTTTTAGGCCAAGCTTTTGGTGGCAATGACTGTGAGACCTGTCCTGCCGGGCCCTGTGATCCCCGTGAGGGCATGGCTCAGCCAGGACAAGTGCCACCGCCCAGGCTTGGATAGGGGAAGGGAGGGAGCACGGGATTCTCCTTCCACCTTCCCGGGTTGGCATTCTCCCAAGGAATGGGGATCTATACAAAAACGAGATCAAGAAGTGACCTTTCATTTAAAAGCAAAACAAAAACAGAAAGAAAAAACTTTTTTCCCCTAAAAACCCTATGCAAGTACAAAGCTTGTGCAGAAAACTTTCCAAAAGTATAAGGAACTGGAGCTGTGTGGAGAGCATAGGCTGAGACCCCCTCTGGGAGAGGCCCGGGGGCTGAACACTGCATTTGGACGGTCTTGTCAGCACCTCACATTTCTCTTTCCTACACTAACAAAAGACACTTTGCTCTCCTGCCCAGGCTCGCTGCTTTTCCTCCCACCCAGAATGCTAACCCCCTCTCCGCTCCCCACTCCCACCCTCATCGATCTGTAGAGTCAAGTTGTCCCTCAGTTCCCTGTTCAAGTCCCCATCCTCTAAGAAGTTTCCAGGTCCCCATCCACATGTCTTCTAACTTAATCTTGTTTTGCCAACAAATCACTAAGATCCTTGGTCAGGATCCTTGGGTCCCAGCGTCCTGGTGCGTGGGATGAATCCACACTCCCTTCCCTGCCTGCTTCCCCTGGACTGAAATGGCTAAGCCTCCTCGTGCTTGGACAGTTAATTAAGGCAAGATCTTCCAGGCATGGGGATGAGCAGAAGCCTGGGGTGAAAGAATAGCAGCCAGTTCCATCTGCGTCGGAAGCTTTTGCCACCTCATGGATTCTGTTCTTGGAAAGAGTCACAGGGCCAGGTACACATTTGATGCACTTGTAAAAGCTCTCCCAGGTGATGCTGGCCAATTGCCCGGGGTTTGCCCTGCAGAGCCTCACTTGACTCAGGAGCCTGGGCATGTTTGGAGGGTTGGGAAGGTTAGAGCGTCTGAAGCTCTGAAGCTTATGAGAAGTGAGGAAATTCAGTGCAGACATGGTGGGTGGGAGGAAGCCAGTGCTAAGGATCTGGGGTGAGAGGACTACCCCATCGCCGGAGTGAACTGGGACACCCAGATTGCAGATTGGCTGGAACCTGGGTGGCGGCCTTAGCTCTATGGTAACCGGCCATGTGACGTCTTTGCTGAGGCTGTACTTTCTTTCCTTGATAAAGGGGGTGAAGAAGTCTGTAAGTAGATTAAAATTTGAATTTTTTGCCCTCTGTCAGGTCACTGCCACAGGTCATTCTGTGGAAACTGGGGACCGGAATAATGCTAAGAATGACACTAGTTTGACATATTTTCCCTTTTAAAAACTTGTCCCTACGCTCAAATCCATTCATCAGCTCAACTTGCTGAGCAAAACCTTCCGTTTAGGGGAGTGAGAAGAGCTTCTCAGGCGTTCTTTGAAAAAGGCATTTTGTGAAGATTCATGCTGTCACGCCTCATTGAATTACTTCTTATTCATAAAGCACAGCGTTTTCCCTACCAAATACCTCATGAAAACATCACATCATCCTTGCTTAGAGCTGACATTTAAAAACACTCCCTAGACTCAATAAAAATACGACCTCACCCTCTTCGAGCCTGAGAAATTTTCAATCATTTTAAAGGCTTGTTCCACAAAGCATTTGCATGTCACCCATTCTGATCGGCACACCCTAGGCAAATGCACACGACACACTGGGTCACGTCCTGGAAGGGGCAGGCAGCTTCTGTGGTCCCCTGGGCTTATCAGATGATATATATATATATATATATATATATAAATATCCAAAATCATTCCTAGAAGTATGTAGGTGGTCACGGTAATACATACAAATACTCATATTAAAGGCTTGCCATAGACCTAAATGTTTACCTATTCGGATATAGGGCTTGAATCCGCTCACCTGCACATAAACACCTATATGTACATGAACACCTGTGTGCACATAGTCTCCCAGAAGGCCAAGAGCATCTTTCTGTGTTTAATCTAGCGGGTACTCACATACGAAGGAAGGTGGGCCCTGGGCACAGACGTCCTTAATCCCTGGACACCAGGCAGCCCAGAGGGTGGTGACTGGTGACAGAGTCACCTGCCTAGGGCACCAGTCAGAGTGAGGCTGTCAAGGGCCAGAAGACAGACTACCACACAGGGTAAGGACCAATCACAGTGTGCCCCTGTACCCCAAGCCAGTGGGGAGCCACCTCCACCGGCCAATGAGAGTGGGGCAGTGGGAGAAACAAAGTAACATGTCTGAAGGCAGAAGGGCACAAACAGAAGGCAGGAGATAGGAGAAAAGGGCAGGGCTGACCTTCTCACCTCATAGGCTGGCTCCTTGAAGGGTCATGGAGGGTAACCCGTGTCACCTCAGGTGGCCTGTGTGTGCCCTCAGAGGCTAAATGGATGTCCTCTGACTGGTGCCCCTCACCTGACATCTAGGCCAGGTACCTTCATCCCTCTAAAGGGGACAACAATGCCTGCCTTCTAGGGTTCTCCTGAGGCGTAGAGACGACCCCTCAGATAGAGTCCAGAGCACAGGCTCCATGTCTCAAGAGGAAAGACGAAAAAATGTGGACATCAGGAAATCGAGTCTCATCGAAGATGGGACAGGAGAAGGGTATTTTAAACCAGGATTGAGGAAATGGGAGAAGAGGCACATGAGGGGCTGCTCAGAGGACAGCTGTGAGTGCTCCCCTTAAAACGTGAAGAAAAAAAGAAAAATTGTTTACTCTGAGATAGTTGGGAAATGATATTCTTTCAGCTTTGGGAGTGAAACCCTTTTTATCCCTCAAATTCAGATAGACTCTTGTCTTTAGGCCTCTTTCACTTGAGCCCCTCCACCCCTAAATATTTCCTGATGATCAAGCTTCCACTCCAGCTTTGAGAAGGAGCAGCAGCCCTTGGGGGGGTGCTGACCTCTCTTTGACCTGAGCTAGCAACTTCACCCCAGGTCAGGGGTGAAACAGAGGCCACAGGCTCAGCCTGTGGTGGGGTCTGGATTTGGATTCACTTGCAGTGACCGTGGGCTCCATGAGGCAGGCCCACTAAACCGTGCCCAAAGGGGCATATGGTGGACACTCCTGGAATTCAGCTTTGCTGAGTGACAGATTTGCTTGAAAAGAGTTTTGGTGGGACATTAAATTCAACAAGGTTTTATGTGTAAAGTAACCGTCACAGAGAAAGCACCCAAAAGAGTCCATTCTCCTTCTCCCTTCCAGAAACATGTTAGATGACCATTTCAACCCCAAATTCTGTCCAAGTTGAGAACCTGTCCCTTCTGCCTCTCAGGCAGCCGTTGACCTCAATCTCTGAGGGAATTTTTTCCCCTCACCGCCATGACTCTCCCACCCTCCTGCTCTCCCCTGGCTCTGCTCCTCGGCTCCCAGCACCAGCCCCAAGGGACCCATTGGAGAGAGGGCACCCAGGAGTCTGTGTGCCTGACTTGGAGAGCTTCTCCTGCCCACAGAGAGGCTGCCGACAAATTCTGAAACAAGTCTGCCTTAGGCTTTCATCTAGACCCCCTCTTCCTCTCCACCACCACACACTCATAGATCTGCCTTCCTGAATGCTTCATTGGGGAGCAGATGAAGAAGAAATGCAGTCCTGGGAGCAGTAGTGGGGGGCTCTTACTAAGATGCTTCCTTACCTGAGGCAGCCAGATTTCTGTATTGAAAATGAAGATCTCCTATCCACCTCAGTGAGCCTTCTCCACCCCTGTGAGGTGGAAGGCTCTGCTCAAGAGCCCACTGCACCTCCTAGTGGCCTATTACCAACTTTGGATACAGTCAGAATTCTCCCCACAGCATGCACACAATACCTCACCTTCTGACCCTGGCCCCTCCTTCCTAGTAACACAGATGCTGGCCTGAAATGCTCCACCACAGTACACAGATCCTTCCTTGAAATATGTCCCTCAGAATAGCATGGATTCTGTCTTGAAATACCCCCTCAGAGTAGCATAGACCCTAAACTAAAATACTTCCCTCTCTTTACCAGTTTGAAAGCACCCACTTCCCCTACGCAGCTCAGCAGCAGAAAGCACGAAGCTACATAAGATACCTACGTTAATGCCAACCCAGCATGGTGACCCCGTTCCGTGCCCCTCAGCCCAGAGTGTATGGTCCAAGGAACATTCTCCATTGTTGGTTTCTGTACTGCTTGTGATCAAGGGCAGGGGCCTCAATGCTATTATCTTTCTATCTTTCAAACAAAATGAGAGATGGATTGTGTATTGAATATCTACTGTGTTCTAATCCTCATGGACAACCTTATAAAGAGTTTTATTTTTATTTTATGGAGGGGGAAGCCAGATTCAGGGAGGGGCAGTGAGTTGCTTACATCTAAGTACCTAAGTTTCTCTCTGGCCCTCTGCCCTTGGTGCCTTCTTGGATGACGTTTAATTCAATGAATACCAACTGCCTTGGGCTAAAGAGACATTTGCATGATTTTATAAGTTTCAGAACAAGACCTTCAGGTTTGAACTGAAGGTCTGTGGACAGTGGCTCTGAGGGAGCAGTGGGAAGGTGGAGGTCAGCGGAAGGGCACGCTCCCACTCCCATTAGGGGCTCCTGGGCATTTCTGCCAACAAGAGTTTCAGACAAACCCTGAAGCTTTGCTTGTCAGTCCCTGACATCTGCTCTGCACAGCAGCAGCTTTGGCTTCAAGGATCAGCTATAATAAGGCAAGTTCCGTTATGGGGAGGTGGCACTGCAGGGACAGTAGGACTGGCCACTTTCTGCTAGAGGAGGGCAGATGCTTGACCCCCAAGGTCATGTCCCAGGGAGAGTGTGCCCACCCTCCTCTAACCTCCGGAGTTAAACTCCAAAGGGCTCAGGGCCCAGCATCATGACTTAGTATTAACCAAGAGACTTTCTTCTGGGGCTTCTGTTTTAAGGTTTTAAAACAGAAAGTGCTTTGAAATGCAGAGAGAGCTATACACATGTTGATGAAGAAAGCTGAGACTTGAAACTATAAGCCTCTTAGGCAAAGGTGAAGGGAAAAATCTTTTTTTTAATATCATTTTATTTATTTTTATTAATTTATCAATTTTTTTCTTACATCATTGTAATTCCCATAGTTCTCCCGCCACCATATGACCCTCGAACCATCACCGCATTCCCTCATGTTCTTCCCTTCCCTGTTTTTGTAACAAGGTGGTCCCCAGGAAAAGGGGAGTTTCCAGGTTACTTGCCCCACCCAAGGGAGGGTGGAGCTGAGCAGGGAGGAGAAGAAGCTGGAGAGGAGAATGGGGAAGGAAGGAAGCAGGATGGGGAGCAAGGAGGAGCCCTGGAGGAGGCACATGGAGTAGAGACACGTGAAGAAGCCACGCTTGCTTCTTGGTCCTGGCCTGGTTGAAACAGATGTGGGTGAGAGACCCGTGGGGAGGTTCACAATGGCAGCTTCTTTTTTTTTTTTTTTTTGTGGGACCCTCGCCAGCGGCCAGGGAATGAACCGGCAGTGCAGAGGCTGTGGGCAGCCTCGCAGCCCAGCGCTCAACCACTGCGTCAACAGGGGAGGCCCACACAATGGCAGCTTTTATCTTGATTTGGATTTTGCTCTTTTCCTCCCAGACTTGTCTGGCTGTTTCTGACCCTTTTCTATGGGTCCCTGCCCAGAGGGTGCCTTAGATGTGAGGCAGGCTATTGGGCCTTGCTTTGGGCCAATCCTGTTTGGCTGGGCATTTACCCACGAGGAAATGGGAATGTAAATTGGTGCAGCCACTAAGGAAACTAGTATGATGTTTCTCAAAAAATACAAATAAAACTACCATATGAGGGCCTCCCCGGTGGTGCAGCGGTTGAGCGCTGGGTTGCGAAGCTGCCCGCGGCCTCTGCGGTGCCGGTTCGATCCCTGGCTGCTCCCCGGCCACCGGAGGAGGGTCCCGCATGGCGCGCAGACCTCTCCTGCCGCCTGCTGCTCCCCTCAGCAGTGTACTTCGTCCTTCTGCCTGTTCTGCTCCCCGCTCTGGCTCTGGTGAATTCTCTCACCCTCCCGCACTTCTGACTGTACACAGTGCATGTATAAACAAAACAAACAAACAAATAAATAATAATAAAAAAAATGCCTCTATAAAAAAAAAAAAAACCTACCATGTGAGCCAGTAATCCCATTTCTGGGTATTTACTTGAAGAATTTGAAAAAACACTAATTCGAAAAGATACAGGTACCCCTATGTTTGTTACAGCACTTTCACAATAGTTAAGATAAGGAAACAACAGGTGAATGGATAAAGAAGATGTGGTATATATACAGTTATAAAAAGAAAAGACGAAATCTTGCCATTTACAACAACATGAATGGAATTTTTTTTTCAAAACTCATCTCTTTCTGATTTATTCAAAAGTTTTATATTTTCTTACCATTGTAGAACTCGTCCTCAAATTTTATTTTGTTTTTTTTTCCATCTCCTTTGTAGGCATCTCATAGTTTAACTAGTGCAAGTTTCAATTTGTTTATGGTTGACTAAATATATATATATATATATATTTCAATTTTTCACAATTATGCTAGTGCTTTCATTTGTAGTGTAGTATTTAACATAGATTTTAATTTTTATTATTTTTTTAATTTTAATTTTATTTTTATATTCCCCATACAATTGCAACCCCCTTATTTTGACCCCAATCCCTCCTTTCCCCGCCCCCCACCCCCCATAGAGTGTCTCTGGTTCACAGTTGTTTGTTGATTTTGATTTTTACTTTCTTATAGTTATTCTTTTTCCTGGTCCCTTATTTAAGTTTTCTAGATTCCTGCTATGAGTGAGACCATCCGGTATTTTTCTTTTTCTTTCTGGCTTATTTTGCTGAGCATGATCCCTTCCAGCACCATCCAACATGAATGGAATTTGAGGGGGTTATGCTAAGAGAAATAAACCAGGAGAAAGAAAAATATTGTAAAGATTTCACTCATTTTTGGAATATAGTGGATTTTAATTCTTTTGAGATGGATTAAGGATTTGTGGACTGATATGTGGTCTATCCGGGA